ATTTGTGTACGAAAAAGAATAATTTTGTTGTTACGGCGAAACTGTTGCTGCTACTGCATTCGACGTAATAATAACAAAGTTTTGTTATTATAACGAATTTTTCAACAATACAGCTAAACATTTTCAGCAGAACAGAAATTATTTTGTTCTTACAGCTAAATAATTTGTCAGTTTAGCAAAATTACTTTTTCAACTTCAATAAAATTAGTTAATTCTTAACAAATCACATTGTTGTCCGTATAATAACTAATTTTTTTAAGACAGAATAAAATGTATTGTGCGAGCAAACTTATTTTTCTTCGTGATTTCTTGTTTATGTATAATATTATGTCAATTAAACTCAAGTGTTAAATGATTAAAACAACTGTAAAAAGTAACACAATGTACATCTAGTTTTAATTTTACACAACAGTTATAATATGTTCCATAGTATTATTTATTATTATAGAGACAGAAGTTATTTATTAAAGTTCACAGAAAAAAATGTTCATTCTACTCTATAATATAAAAGCTTGAATTGTACACGTGTAAAATGTAAAAGTAAATTTTTTCTTAGCTAATTATATCGTTAAAAATGTGTTCCTTTTACACAAAACTTATCTATTTTAAGGTTTGCATTTAGTTTGCGTTAAAATATTAACATATAGTAACATATTAAAATGTTAACTTAGTATCACAATTTAACATATTCATATTATATTAAAACATTTCCGTGCACCGATTGAAATATGCGACATCTGTAAAATTTAACACAAATTGTTCAACTGTGTGTGTGTGTGTGTGTGTGTGTGTGTGTGTGTGTGTCTTGCTTTTTTCTTTATTATGCTCGTGTATGTAGCGTTACGTTAGTATAAGCGCTTTGTGTGTGTGTAATTCATCTTTTAAATAATCATACACTGCCACGTGACAAATCGTGACGATAATCACCGAGTGATTTATCGCTAATCGATAGACTTGTTGGCGCACATGTTGCGGTGGTTGAAATTATTTACCGGAAAAGCACCGAGAGTCTCCTCGCTCTGCGTTGGAAGATAAATCAAACGGGAGGATATGAGTGCGCGATCGAACGTACGTGCGGAGTAGATCGAAAATAGCGAAGAGGGTAACCGAAAAATTGTCGATGGAGTTATAAAAGTGGGTTCCGTGACCTTTCGCCGCCTCTCCCTTATGTCCCCTCGTGTGTCCCAGGTCCCAGGCTATAGAAAAAAATTAGACGCGGGGTCGCCAGCCCCGAAACACCAACAACAATGCAATTATTTATATGTCCCGCGGATGGCACCGCATCGGCACGCGCGCTTGTTACGTTCAGAAGTTTATGGTTTAATTAATATCTCACATATGTTATATTATTTCTTTTCATATCCAAAATTATCGTATCGAAAACTAGAAAGAGTTTCCAAAATATGGCGCATAAATTTGGTCAATATGACATCAAGTTGACGTCATCTCGGCTCTTTATTTCTCCTTGGGTCGAGTATAAAATTCTAAAAATTACGAGTAAATATTTTCGATTTAAAACAATTTTTAACGCTTAAAATTTTTTTCTATTAAAACGTGTACAATTTTCAGACGGGATTATTGTCAATATCCTGTACCTACCCCGCGTGGATCCCTTATGAACTCTACGAGAATGTACGACAGAAGGTTGTAGGGCATCGATTGGGAAACGTCTACGGAAACAATTGTCGCGAGGAAGGCGCCGAGGCCGAGCCAACGACTATCGTTGGAATTATATTTTAGCAGGGTGCTATTCTAATTTTTGGAAACCGTTGCGCCACTCACCCTCCGACACATGAAACGCGTCATCGATTTCATTTGCACGCTCGATTTTCTCACTCTCCTTTTTTTTTGTCTTCGTTTTCGCGGCATTATTCGATCGGAAAGAGGAAAAAAAAGGAAGAAAAAAACGCGATGATTGTCGCGGAATGAGAAGGAACCGCCTTACGCAGCATAAGAGAAGAGGAAGAAAGGAACGTGGGCTTTGCCGGTGTTCACTCTTGCAAATGTCGTGGCAACTGGAGAAAGAAACGTGCTCGTTAAATTATAACAGCCATCAAGTTCCGCTTCCGGATAAAAGCGATGTAACAGAATGTGGAAGAAGGAGGCAGCGTGGAGATTCGGGGGATAAAAGAGAAGGAGAGATGGAGAGAGAGAGAGAGAGAGAGAGAGAGAGAGAGAGAGAGAGAGAGAGAGAGAGAGAGAGAGAGAGAGAGAGAGATCGCGCGCGGCAGAGGGTGGCTCTATATGCATACGAGAACATTCAGGTGTCAATCAAGGCTCCGGATCTTTGGCACTCTGGGGTGTCGTGCTTGGGACACACGTACGATTTTTCCGCTAAAAATTTACGTATTCACTCACGCGAGGACCGCTCGCGCGAATGGAAAGCGTTTTGGTAGGGCGGATTAGAGGAGCGGAAAGAGAGTTCTGTTTGCTTTTTCACCACTCTTGACTTCATATTCGAGAGCATATTTTTTGCGCCAACCGTCACGCATTGTTAACGTCAAATCGCGTTTTTTCCCATCTCTTTTTTTTCCTGTACACGTTGCGCTGCCAATAGCGACGGAAAGGAGAAAACGATCGCCTGTGATCCTCGCGACGCAGGAAAGTTCCGCGATCTCAAGCGAGAACGCGCGCGCGCGCGAATAATCTACGATTATATTCACGACCTGCCGACGAGACTCTTGACAAGTTATTTTCACTCGTATTCTCTATAAGCTATTCTAATATATATTATGAATATTACATTTTGTACGATAAAATAGATATTATGTATAAATGTGTTCCACATATGTGTAGAAAGAGGAACTCTCCGACTCACAGAAGTACCACGTTTTAGAGAGATGTATTTTAACTTCATGTCTCCAAATTATTTATTGATTTATTCACATCTTAAAATGGATTTCAACCCGAAACTATTCTTACACGTAACATTTTTCTCCTTTATACGTTCATATTGGTTATGCAATATAAAGCAATATAAAGATTTTGTGCGCGAGTGTGAGCGAACTGATAGAAGAAAAGGTAGCAATGTATGGAACCTGCTGACCCAGGTTCACAAGTCGACGATCTAATCGATATCGATCGTGATTTTTCCGATCGTTTGATTTGATGGCGACCAGATTCTTCGTTGATCTTTGCAAGATAATCGATAGAGATCCGCATAATACTCGCTATCGACGTATGTTTAACATCTATAGATGCATACATATCAATTTAACGTATAGAAGAGATCGTATCAACCGTGTCGACCAATTATTGATGATTTAGTTGATATACAGGGTGAACAATTTTAATGTCTCACCCCAAATATTTTATTTCCTACGTTTTTTTACAAAAAAAAAAGTTTCCTACAAAAGTTGTTTGACCTCAAGGGGGATATAAGTGAGCGATGTCAATTTGTTCGCGATTGCGCCACTTTATACAGATTCCATCATGGCTGTTATTTTTCTAAATAAAACTCGATTTTTTTCTCGAAATAAAAGTTACAGCTGACAACGAGACGAATTCAACGGTTTTTTGTTCTTTAAAATGAGATCATTTTTCACTAGTATATTATAAGTACTGCTTATTGCAATAAATATTACCACATGCCTCACCCACACAGCACAGAAAGATTGCAGGAAGATTGCAATATTGCAGCAACGTTGAAATGTCCGTCCTCAGAGAGATTGCAGTGCAACATTATAGCAATGTTGCAGTGCAATATTTTTGGAATAATTTGTTGTTGTACATAAGCAGAGAATTTACTAATTACATCCGGGCCTTTTTCAATACATAGCAAGTTATTGCGAAGCAACCTAAGGAGGTTATGTCGCTTCGCAATAGATGGAGATTGCGAGCAACGAGCAACACCGTACTGATCAAGTACTTAATAATTCGCGCATTATTGGTATCAACGAAAATAATATTATAAAATTCTCGTAATTAGAAACATTTTAAAAATAGAAAATGTAGTATTTTCATTATTTTTGAAACATTGCTGCAATATTGCTATCGAAAGTTTGCAATTTTATATCCCTGCAATGTCTCTGCAAGATGCACTGCAATCTGCAAGATTGCAACGTTTCTGCAATGTAACTGCAACCATCTGTGCTGCAGTAGTCGAATTGGTGAGACGCCAGCCTAGAGTGTAGAGAGGTCCAGATTCAAACCCTGGGCTAAGGGCATATTTTTCGCAATAAATTTTCTGTGTTAAAAACACGTTGCCAGTTATGGTCCATTGAAAGATTAATTATTGTTTGTTAATTTTCGACTGTTCGTAATTAACAAGTAACTTATTTTAATACTAGACACCTTATCTATGTATGTAAGGTTATCCAACATATTTAGTCTTGTTTGTTTTTCTGTAAGGCGTTATTGTTGCACAAAATTATGACGTTTGCATTACGGACTTCCAAGGTAGCTGTAGGTTCAATGTCTCATGTGTGCAGGTGTCTAGGCCTACAATGAGTATGTAGAAGCTGAAAAAAAGGAATACATTTGCGATTTTTGTCAGCAAAGATAACAATTCTTTCTCTTTTACTAATTTTTGATTTTTTTACAATAATAGTGATTTATTTTCCATCATTAATAAATAAAATACTTTTTTAAAAGTTATTCTTCGTTTTATGAATTTCTTTTCATTTCCCACAATTAAAGAATAGGTCTATATTACCAGCAGATTATGTCGTACTACTCAATCGTTTACTTCTCGATTTGCTTTATACAGCTGTTTTGTAAGCATGGAGAATTATGAAATTTAGAAATGGATTGTCAATCGACCAAGGAATCTAAGCCAAGATTGAAAAACTTGAACTTATAATTTACAAGAAATCACTTAAAAACAAAGTGGAGTTTCCCACCTTCCTCTACTTTTTCCTAACTAATTTAATTGTTAAAAAGCAATTAAAGTTTCCCTCCTACTTTAAACGTAAAATTTTCTACATGCTAAATAAGTTGAACAATGTGAAAAAAAAGGATTATAACGGATAGGAATATGCATCTAATAAAATTCTCAGTCGTTTGATAAACTGCGGATGATTTATTGTGGCTCGCGGCGATATTCGTATCGCACGCGCTCTCGCGCACAACAACAAATAGTAACATGTAACGAATGTTCTGTCATATGGAATTATCGCAATAAACTGCCCCGCGGATCTGAGAGATGTATGGATCAATAAAAACGCTGAACGATTGAGTCAAATCACCGAAAAATTAGATATTTTTGCACTCCGCGCGATCGGCGTTGGCCGGCCAATCGCAAATGAGCTTGGTGACTTGGAAGATCAGACCAACCGGGCACTTCGTCTTGATCGGTTTGCCGTGATTGCAGACGAAGTACTGCAAAAGAACACACGTTATTTAAATGTTGCGTCTGCAGTGCAAACGTTAAACAATACAAGCATGGAACGTCAAAAGAAGCTAATTTTGAAGAAATACTTTTTCGACGTGTGATAATATAATACAATAGCTTAGAGTCGCAGAGATTTAAATTTCACTCACTGTCAGAAATCAATAACGCGCGCATATATTTGTGACATATCTCGAAATAATCGTTAAAAATATTGCTCGATTAGAAGAAGTGTGCATTCACGAGCGTACCGTTGAGCAATCTTTACTGGGGATGATACTCTGGCCGTTGCACTGAACTTCGTTTTCATCCACTGGTTTCGACGTAGACTGCGTAGGACGAGGTACTTCGGTGGTCACCTCGGGTTTCGTGGTGGGTTTAGGTGGTTTCGGTTTTTCCTCACCTGTCGAGGGGGTAGTGCTGGGTGGTCTGTCCCACTCGGGCTGAAAAGAAATCGTGATTCCTACATTCGGTTCTCGCACTCTTAATAGCAGGACGTCTTACTTGAATATGCGGCATTTATACAGGGTGTCCCAGGATGAAAGGTCAATATTCTACGAGGTGATAGTATCGGTCATTTTAAGCAAAAATGTTCATATGAATATATGTCCCATTCCCCACTGTATCCGAGCTAGAGCTACTTGAATGTCTCGTGTATTTACTTTTTTTCTGTACACTTCACCCTTCATCCAACTTCATAAACGTCTGCGGAAATTTACTCTTATACTTATGTCTGTTGACTGTTGCGCTGATAACAATGTAGAAATGTTCAAAATGCCTCGCGTATTTACAAATGTTGAATATGCAGATATAGTGTATGTTTACGGTTTCTGTGATGGTAGTGCTACCGCTGCTGTTGAAGAATACCGTCGACGCTTTCCTGCACGCAGAATTCCGAATCGTAAAGTGTTTTCCAAGGTTTTCAATACATTGCGTGAAAATGGAACGCTTCCCAGTGTTCATGTTTGTGCTCTATCTCGGAAACAGTGGGGAATAGGATATACAGGGTGCTCCAAGATTAAATGGCCAAACTTGAAAGATGTATTTAGAACCTCAAAGCAAGAAAAATTTTTCTCTGGAAATATGCTCGTAAACGTTCCGTTCACGAGATATTGACTTCTGAAGTTATGAACTGTTAGGAATAAATAATTTCGAAATAATTTAGATTTATCCTCTCTATTGCTTTTTAATAATAAAAATTTAATTATTAAACGTTTTGTTCAAAATGATGGCCTCCAGCTTGGAGACATGCATTGCACCTATCGATGACAGAATGAGTGGCTGACTCACATTGTGCGTCTGTAATTTTGTTACACGCCTGCACTATTCTCCGTTTTAATGATTGAAGATCATTAACAGGCACTTCACACCAGTTTATTCGACGAAAGCATTTAACGAACTAAGTACGATGATACGACGCTTTGTTTACCATGCAAATAAAAGCCTATCAACGACCTTCGATTTCGTAAACAAAGTTCCGTCGTACTGTATGTTTTGCGATTGGTTTTTAAATCAAAGAACTTATGATTTACAATTCTCGCAAAACATTTTATGGACAGATGAACCCATATTTACCAGACAAGAAATTCTGAATCAAAGAAATAGTCATATTTCGAAATTATTCATTCCTAAAAGTTCATAACTTCAGACGTCAATATCTCTTGAACGGAACGTTTACGAGCATATTTCCAGAGGAAAATTTTTCTTGCTTTGAGGTCCTAAATACAGCTTTCAAGTTTGGCCATTTAACCCGGGAGCACCCTGTATATTCACACGAACATTTTTGCTTAAAATGATCGATACCCAGTGAGAAATGATTCGTCGATCGACATCGAAATGATGTCGAATCGACGTCAATTCGACGGTGTCGATGTCGATTCGACGTCGTTTCGACGTCGATCGACGAATCATTTCTCACTGGGTACTATTACCTCCCAGAATATTGACCTTTCCTCTTGAAACATCCTGAACAAGGCGATTTCGAACCCTGATTAACCCAGTATAAGTCATTAGCAATCTACAGGCTGCAAACCGCCAGAAATAAGAAAACTCGGGACATTAAATCAAAATATGTAAACTAGTGAAAACAAATTTTTTCATACTTTCAAAATAGTAGACATATGTGGTGAACCAAATTTTCAAAAAAGTTATCTTTTTCAGCGAAAAGTTACATACGGAGTTTCTTTGGATCGCTAATTACGAATATACACTCAGATTCCCGAAATTTAAGATGGCGGACCCAATATAGCCGATCGGATCCCGTAACAATCCAGATTATACGAAGAAAACTCGTTTTCACTCGACCCACATGCATCTAAACTCTTCAAAGCTATGAAATTTGGCCAAAATGTGGAGTATATGAAAACAACGAAAAAGACTTATTTTTCAAAATCAAACTTAAAAATAGCAAATTTTATAGTTTTACAGACACATTGGGTCCGCCATCTTGAATTTCGAGAAGCTAAATGCATTTCGTAATCAGCGATCTCCAAAACCCCCGAGTGCAACTTTTCTCCGGAAAAATTTTTTTTTTAATTTCGGTCCACCATATTGGTCTGATATTTTGAATGTTAAGTATGGAAAGAAATTTTTTTCATAGTTTTATATATTTTGATCTAATGTCCTGAATTTTTTAGTTTCTGGCAGTCCACAGCCCGTAGATTGCTGGCGGTCTGTAATGGATTAAACTAATCGACAATTATTTTATCAAGTAATATCCGTAGTATTGTGTTAACGCGATTATTGATTCTGTTATTTAACAGACAGAAAGGGAAATTAAAGATCAGAGACGATATAAGTAAAACTTTTGCTGCAGTCTTCTGTCGGTTGAACTAATCGCCGGTAGAATTAAATTAATCGGAGTTTCTTGTAATATTAGTTGACTAACACCTCACCCTGGGAGTTGTCTTGTAATCCGTGGGTGTTACCGTGTAACCCTTCAGACCGTTGTAAATTGCGGTCATGAGAGGATTCACAGGACCGCAGAGTCCTCTGAAGTCGTCCATGTCGACCGCCCAGACCATGGCACCGAGATATTTCTTTTCCTTGAGGAAATTCATCTTGTGGACGATACTGTCAGCGTCTTCGTAGCCAACCCATTGGGGGCTTCGTCCTGCTGCTGTTCAAGAATTGGTAATTCAAATTAACCTTGTCTAGATTGAAGTTCAGTTATATTGAGCACCAGGTAACAATATACGTTTTATCCGATTTTACATAAAAAATAGATGCAAAAATAAAATATTTTTATAAAAAAATGTTCAAAGGAGCTAACGAACCGGACACTGGTATACGTGGAAAAAACATTTAATAATTAATATAAGATTCTTATTAGTATTCTAGAATTTTGATCCACACTCTCTTGCTTCTCAAGTTGTTGGAAATTTTACTTTTGGATTATTCTTCAGAACTCTGTTGTCTAACTTTCTGCAATTCGTCATTTTTACATTAAATTTTGATGTAAAGACTCTTATATGACACACCGCATAAACATTGTTACAACTTAACTGTAGGTTTTTCTTTATGTATACGTAACGTTAATATTTAAAATTCAACAGTGTCTGGTTCGTTAGTTCCTTTGAACGTTATTTTATTTTATATTACCGAACCTTCATCATATATTAATTTGGGGGGGGGGTCCCCGTTTACATTTCCGATTGCCAACAGCTTCGTTTGCCCACAACATTTTGCCGACAGCTTCAGTTGCCGACATTCCCGATTGCCTACAAGCCAACGTTGTGAGCAAACGAAGCTGTTGGCAATCGGGAATGTAGGCAAATGAAGGCCTCTCCATTAATTTATTATATAAAGTTTTAATATAAAATGAATGTATTTCCTTAATAAATAAGTTAAAAACGAATGAGGATCATATCACATAATCCTATATATGTATGATATAACTTCTTTTTAAATCGAAACAAAAGATTTAACTTTAAATATTGATTCTACTGAAGCCATAATTAATGCATGGGGAAAATAAAAATAATATTTTCATTTAGTAAAAAAAGTAGGATTATCAAACAATATGTTCTAAACGGTCATTCATTGCGGTGCACTCTATTTAAGTCGACTTTTCCATACTTTGCTCATCGGATTTCCACGAGGTCATAAGAAACTTTTATTCAAACGTCTATAGGAATATTAAGCTCACCCTTGTACATATAGGGTACTTTGCCCACGTCATCGTATTCCTTGGTCCATCCGTTTTGATCCGGCTGTTTGAGTTCCATGCAGATCTGGAAAAATAAAAGAATCTTGACGTGACGAATGCGCCCGCTGACATTGCTCAGCTTCCGCTCGTTTCAGCCCACTCCGGATCGATCACGTACCTCGTAGTAAGATAAGAATCCTTTAGCTCCGGTGTATTTGCCGGGTTCGCCGCCACCCGCTTCCTTGTTAATGTAAGTGCCGGGCTTGAAGTTGTTATTGCCCTGACTGAGAGTGAAAGTACGCCCGTACAACGGGATTCCTACGACGAGCTTGTTGGCGGGACATCCCTTGTCCTCCCAGAGTTTAAGACCATCGTGCTGAAATAATGGCAATAATCTCACATATAGAATGGACTCGCTGTCACTATTCACAATGTTAACATATATTTAAATCAACCGACCCTAGCGGAAAAAATTTCTATAGATAACTAAGAATGATTGACTTGAAATAGAAGAAATTTTTATATCTTCGTTGAAACATTAATTTTTTGTAGAAATATCTACAAAATAGTACCACAAATTACAATGTTCTTAAATCAAGAAATTATTGCACGTAGTATTTCATGAAAATGTACAATTTTGTAAAAATTAGTACAAAACTTTACTAGTTTAAAAATTTTGAGAAGCAACAGAATCTTAAAGAATGAAAACAACTGCTTACTTTTGTAGAATATTACAAAAATTAATAAAAGTGTTCCAATTCTAGCATTTTCATGTTGATTTTTATAACATTTTTAAATTTACGTGGAATTTCTTAGATGCTGGCAGTTATATTTAATTTTTTTGTAGAATTTTGTAGAATTATTTCCGGCAGGAAAACGAGAGCGCCTTTAGGTCTGAGCAAGATGTTGGTGGCCTAATAATTGTAATCTAAAATGTAAATTCGTATACCACCTTGTTCTGCGCCCTAGTTTCTTTTCGGACATAACAGTTTCGTTTAGATGGAATCATTGTTGTCAGTAAATTCACGTATTAAATCGATAAACGATTTCCGATTATTTTAAAATGCTATATTTAACATTCAATACCCCCTTCCCCGTACTGTAAAGAATTTTAACATAACCCATGCAGCACAGATGGTTGCAGTTACATTGTAGAAACGTTGCAATCTTGCAGATTGCAGTGAAATCTTGCAGAGACATTGCAGGGATATAAAATTGCAAACTTTCGATAGCAATATTGCAGCAATGTTTCAAAAATAATGAAAATACTATATTTTCTATTCAGAAAATTTTTCTAATTACGAGAATTTTATAATGTTATTTTCGTTGATACCAATAATGCGCGAATTATTAAGTACTTGATCAGTGCGGTGTTGCTCGCAATCTCCATCTATTGCGAAGCGACATAACCTCCTTAGGTTGCTTCGCAAAAGCTTGCTATGCCTTGAAAAAGGCCCGGATGTATATGTAATTAGTAAATTCTCCGCTTATGTACAACAACAACAAATTATTCCAAAAATATTGCACTGCAACATTGCTATAATGTTGCACTGCAATCTCTCTGAGGGCGGACATTTCAACGTTGTTGCAATCCTCCAGAAACGTTGCAGCAATGTTGCGCAACGTTGCTGCAATATTGCAATCTTGCAATGTAACATTTCTGCAATCTTCCTGCAATCTTTCTATGCTGTGTGGGAACTTTTATCAACGCACGGAGAAAAAATTCCGATTAAATACTATATAATTGGATAATCCAATTACGTAATAACAAACGGATATATATCCGATTAAATTGTATATCCAATGAAAAATATGATCGGTTTTTCAATGGATATGTCATCGGTAACTGCACTTCAGCGGAAAAATTTCATCGGATGTAACTATAATTTAATTGGAAGAATTAACCATCGGAAATGCTATTTAATTGGTTTATCCGATGAAAATTTTTCTCAGTGCGTGAATTGATTATTGATTATTGATAATTACATACGGAAAGAATTTTCTCTGAAAATTTCTCTTGACAATCACGTAATCGTGGGACAACATGGCATTTGGAAGAATTTCATGAGAGTTTTTTGAAGAATCGCACCATACATTTTACTAGTAAAGTTTACTAGTAAAATGTATGGTACAATTTCAAAAACTCCCGTAAAGTTGTTCAAAATGCCACGTTGTCCCGCGATTACATGATTTTCAGGGTAAATTTTAAAAGAAAATCCGTGTACATGTCTTTTTATTGGAACAAAAGAGGTATATCGAAAGTTTACCACGTTCAGCTTCTCGTAAGCGTACTGATCGTGAGGCCTCCTGTAGAGCGGGCTGTGGACGTCGGCGAATCCGCCCCAGTTGCCACGAAGATCATAAGACATCACGTGGATGGCATCGACGAGTCTGCAATTAATTAATAAAATAACGATTAAGAAAGTCATTGCGTACGAACATTTGCAGCGTCATATATTAAGCTAAGACTCTACAAACGCGTTCAACTGCGGCAACGTGTGCGGCAACGAGTCCAAAGATTTCAATTTCAACGCAGAAAGCTTGCGACGAGCTTCTGATTGGTCGATTCGCCGCACGCGTTACCGCAGCTGATCAACGCATCTACGGAGTCTTAGCTTTGAGTTTCGTTTGCACATGACATTAGGTGAATTAATCTAATTTACATAATATTAATTTACAGAAGAGATACTCACTCGCACAACTCTGGCACGTGGTACCCCTCGTTGAGACGGAACGTAGCCATCGGCACCGCCATCGTGATCTCCCAGCCTTTGCCAGCTTTGTCGAACGCGGTCCTCAGCTCTTCGACGAAGTAGAAGAAGTTGTTCTTGTCGCTGAAGGTGCCGCCTCTATCAGTAGCGGCCGGATATTCCCAATCGAGATCGAAGCCGTCGAACTTGTACTTGTTCATGAAATCTGCCAGCGAGATTAGAGATTTATCGAACACTCTCATACTCGAATCGCGCGATTCACATCCAAGAAAGGTGTCGCGTAAGGGAAAAATCTCCTTCGACTTTGTTCTTTGTCGATAAAAGAAACGGCTTTAGGATCCCCTTAATTTATTACATTTAAATTAAATCAATAAGTATATCTCCCCGCAGTTTCCGCGCATTGACGTTTACTATTTGCAATTACGCGAGATTGTTAAATGTAACAGATCCTTTTTTCCCCAGCAATTCTATGAATGAAGCGTCATGCTCGAGCTACTCTCACCGACGACGCTGCTGATGAGCGAGTCACGTCTGGCTTTCACGCCGACCATCGCGCTGTACTTTCTACCACCCTCGCCCCAACCACCGATCGCGACCTGGGTCTTGAGGTGCGGATGCTTCTCTTTCAGAGCGACGAACTTGCTGAAGCCGCCTTTCTGGACGTCGAGCTCTTCGTCGAGGACGAGTACACCCCAGGTGACGTTGCTCACGCCGATGAAGGAGTAAATAACGTGCGTGCACATGTCAGCGGGAACATCGTCGATGCCATAGCTGCCCACATCCGGACGGTAGATAGCCCAGTTGCTGAAGTAACAGACCAACCTTGGCGCCTCTGAAATGCACATACCGTCACTTAACGTGTATCTAATTTATTAGAGGAAAGTCCTCTATTATGAGATAGGTTTCTGATATGAGATAGCAGGTTTTCAATCACAAATCTCCTTTCGCAACAATTACGCAATTTAACAATGAATTTTCCACCGAACAGATTTCGCTCCAAGGGCAATAAATTCATAGTGGAGTCAACAGAAGATGCCTATTAATTTTACAGAAATCCCGCTACCTCAATTAGGAGATTTTCATCCATTGGTCGTCATCAGAATGCTTAGAATATAAGGATTTCTAACGTACTATCAATGTCTTATCAACTTTACTTCTTCGTGGCTACACAAAGAAATTATAGGAAATATAATTAAATTATAGAGAAATATACAGGGTGAGTCGTAAAGACTGTCTTAACCGTTTACCATAAGAGGCGAATTACCGACCGCAACTATAACCAACTCGGGAAAAAATGGATAAAATCTTGTTCTACGTGTCTCAATCATATAATATATAATTATTTCTCGAGAAATCTAATTAGACAATACATGACTGAGACATGTAGAACGAGATTTAATCCATTTTTTTCCGAATTGGCTACAGTTACGGTTGGTAATTCACCTGTTATGATAAAAGGTTGGGACAGCCTTTACGACTCACCCTGTATAGCAAAAAAATGACAGGAAAGCGGAAGAACGAGCTGCAAGGCCGTAATATTCAGCCTATGATTTAACGTAATATTTTTTCATATTAATTTTATCTTATCGTGAAAAATAAAACGCACCAGCTGCTCCGTAGGCCAGGAGCGCCAGGAACAAGGGCAAGGAAAACAGCAGCTTCCCCATCTTGGAATCTGTAATTAGAAAGAGGATAGAGAGAAAGAGAAGTTGGCAAAACAACGTTAAATATAAATAATCGCGAGATTAACATAAACAATTCGTTGCGGAAACGCTTCAACAAAACGTTAGACTCGTTGCGTGGGCTTCTTCAGTTTCTTTAAATCTCTTCTCACAGCTTCAGGCGGACACGGTGTTACTTGATACGCGCGGGAAAATATTCGCACAGCCGATATTTTTATTGCAATAAGACGCGAGCAAGCTCTGGACTTCTGTGTCTTAAGGTACCGCCTTTTCCGGTCACGGTGCGATTTACTCGGCACTCGGCGCGCTTCTGCGTCGACGGCCGATCGGCCGCTCCGTCGAGCCTTCGCGGAAACTTCTTGGAGCGTAAAGCGATCGATTTATTTTCGTAGTGCCCGAGGGGAATGATCTATGAACGACCGGTTCTCGGGATGAACGTTGACACCGTCGTGGAGCCTTCACCGCGACGACGACGACGACGCCCGGCTCCGTCCGTGCGTGAACGCGTGGCTAAAAAGCCGCGTGTCTTCATCCGGCGGGATCGTTATCTCGCAAAGCAATCGCAAAACCGATAGAGACGCATTCTCATGCGTCGCGGGCGCGGACGCGCGCATAAAAGTGGCACTTTCTTTCTTTTAACGGACTGACGAAGGGAGAAAATTATTAACGCGACGATGACAGAGAGCTTGGAATTTCGTGCGAGCCGTGTGATATATTTTTAGCACGAATTATCTGAAAACCATCTCGGTCTATCGATTGATTCGCGATATAAAATGACGCTCGGATAAGCTTGATATCCCGACACTTTATAAATGGCCGCGATTAAATTAATTTAATACGGAATCGATCGTACTAACACGTTCTACCATTGCAAGTGTATATTTGTACATCTATTATGACACTCGCTGTTTTAATAGACGCGAGATATCTAACTGTTAGAACGGTAACGTTAATACCTCTAACTGTTAACAACTGATTATATATTCGACTGTTCCAGTCAGAACGAACCCATCGATCGGTCTTTGAATAGGAATTAAACGAATAACGTGTAACGGTGACACGCAGGTCCCGTTATAGGATTATTCTATCTACAATATACATATTATATAACCATATTAATACGAAATTAAGGAGCGAGATTTTAATCAATGAGAATATAAGCTCATGGTCGTGTTCAGAAACGAGAAATCGTTCGATGTCTACGTTATTAACGCATCGCATCGCAATTGGGGACTGTTAATCGCGCATCAAATGGACCGGTTTTCCAACTTCTTGGTAAGTTTATTAATAGTTAAACTATATGTCTAGCTTTGATTCTGATTCAAAGGGAAAACAAAGACGTACATATTATTTAATTGCACGGAGAGAATTTTCTTTTAAAATTTACCCTGGAAATCGTGTAATCGTGAGACAACACGGCATTTCGGAGAATTTTATGAGTTTTTTGAAATTTTATCATACATTTTATTAGTAATTTACTTAATATACATTTTAGGCAAAATTTCGAAAAATCTCATAAAATTCTCCGAAATGCCGTGTTGTCCCACGGTTACATAATTTTTAAGATAAATTAAAGAACAAATGCTCTCTACATACTTATTAGTTAACTGACTAAGAGACCTATGGAAAAATTTTAAACGGGAAAAATTGCTCATTTATAATTACATCGAACTTTTTACAATAGTACAATTATATTTTTTCACACTAAAAAATTTTTCATATAAAACCACGTATAAATCTATAAAATTATACAGAATTGTATAAAATTATGTAGAAATTCACAATGTAAAAATATGTATGGACACATCTGTTGTACACCTTCACATAATTCTATATATTTATTCATGTTCAGGATGAAAAACTTGTTACCGGGATTTAACGCGAAATTTTGTTACAGTGAAGCCACGATCATCGCGTGTCCGGCGTGTTGTCACGCGTCACGAGATTCGGAGGAAGGACGAAGGATCGCTCCCGAGGATTTTCCGGTACAACGTCCGTCCGACATAGAGGAAACAGAATTACAGCCGCGCAATAAAGTTTTGCGGCATTATAAAACGTACTCCGGGGAAACCCTAGGTTTATCCCTGCGTAAAATCGAACGGACGTCTCCACGGTTGTTCCCGCCGTAAGAAAAGTAAGCGGAAGTTCGCTCGCGCGTTTCATCACGCGGAGCGGGCAGCCCCCGCTTCCAAATAATTATGTAAAATGCACCGAGGCTGTGCGCGGGTTCACTTCGAGGAGCGGCCGTGAATACCGGTGTTGCGGGTCTGTCATGAGCGCGACAAGTAGAATTAACGGCCGCGACCACGGTGGGCGGGACGACGGGGAAAACGAAGTGTTTTGAAGTTGTAAAATTCTCCCAAAGTTGCTTCCCGCGCCTTCGGCCTCCGCTCTCGTCCCCTTTTCCTTGGGACGGGACCGGCGCCGGATAACGATCCGAATTCGGCGACGGGAGGAGCTGCGCCTCTCGGGAGAAATCAAAGACCCGTCCTTCGGATTCTACGACCGCCGCGTGTCGGGATAGAGAAGTCGGGCGTAAAGTCGTGGCGGTGTGGTTAAAAATAAATGAAACAAAAAACGCACGCCGGGCGCGAGAAGTCGCCCAGGATCCTCGGGCCGCGAATTAAGATGCGCGATGCGCAGTCGATTCTCGCGAGGCTCCTGTTCCGCTCGTTACACTTTGAATACAAACGCCCAGTCGAGTCGACAAACGAGTTTCTCGGACGTACACGTCGTACTGGCAACTCGCCTTTGTCTCGTTTAATCGTAAAGCCAATTGTAAGACTGATGATGACCTAGTGATGAAGTATAAAAAAAAAATTAGAAACTTTGGCTTAAAAAATCCAGTATGAATCATTTTTTTATTCTAAACTTGAACATTCTTTACTCGGGTATGTATTTCCTTTGAACAAGTGGCACCATGTTCTTGTTCTAAATTTCAGTTTTGCATTTATTTAAAAGTGCAAAGATTAGCTGTAAATAAACAAAATGCAGAAGAGCGACAAAGTGACGGTGGCTCTGTATTCATAGTCCGTTCTTACTTCAAGATCATCTTAAGTGTACCCGGTAAAAAAGTTTTCATGCATAAATGCATACCTTTATATTGTACATTTCTATATAATTTTACACAATTCTGTATAATTTTATAGATTTATACACTTTATATGAAAATTTTTGTATGTAAAATTTTATATGTAATAACAGCTTTTATATAAAAATTTTTTTAATTAAAAAATTGCTCATTTGTATACAGGGTGTCAGTGAATGTTTGGGACTTATGTTTTATGTAGACAGAGCGGACCAAACTGAGTCGGAAAGTCGGAAATGTGCCATTTTGCAATGTATGCAATAATTAACGAGTTATTAATTATAAAACGTCGCCGTCTTAGCCCGGCCTATCGTCCAGCGTAAGCGAGGAGTTGTTTATTTAATTATATGGAGCTGTTGTAGTTTTTAATAAACAACTCTCGCGCGCCTAGCAACGTTTCAGCGCGGCCCGGCCGCTTGTACTGGAAAGGAGGCTGGGCTGAGACAGCGATTTTTTGTAATTAATGCAAAATAGTCGAGGACTTTTCGGCTCAGTTTGGTCCGCTCTATCTACACAAAAAATTAAGTCCCAAACATTCACTGACATCCTAACTTTGTACAATTATACAATTATATATAAGCGATTTTGCACATTTTTCATATTATGAAAGCATCTATAAATCTATAAAATTATACAGAACTGTATAAAATTATATAAAAATATGTATAGACATATTTGGCGTATATTTTTATATAATTCTATATATTTATTCATGTTCATGCATGAAACATTTTTTATCGGGTAATGCCTTAAGATGCTATGGTTCTGTGATTGGTTTAAGACACACAATTAAGATAATACTTAAGATGGTCCTAAATATAAGAACGGAGTATGAATACGGCCTCAGACTCGGTACTTAGTGTACACTTATTGTTAGTGCAAGTGAATTCGTTAATAGGCATTGAACAACGCCTCGATATTTAAAGTCAGAAAGACAAAGACATTAAATAATACCGAAATAACGTAGACATTGAACGTTGTAACGATAAATATCAAGAAAAATAAATTCTCTAACTTCTTAATTTTTTGTTAAAAACCGTTTTTACAATAGTAAAAAACCGGTTTTTTACTCGGTTTTTATTCCGAAGTAAAAAACCTGTTTTTTATCTCTATGCTGACCGACCTCAAAAATTGCGATTTCAAATAATCCTTCGAGCAGTTAGCTGATAATTTAAAATATTAATCAATGGAGGTATCTTTGAGCTGAAGAAGACTTACGCTGTATCGCGAAACGTTTGCACATTACACGTAGGTATACAATGCGTATAAATACAGGGTTGGGAAGTAACTCGTTACTTGTAACGAAGTTACAGCTACAGTTACTTCTTTTCGGTGACTCTAACTTAAGGAGGGTGGTTGCTCAAATAAAAATGATAAACATGAATTCAAATTTATAGAAAATATTCGTCTATGGGAATCTGTCCACCGTGCGAAAGTTCAAGACGATAGTTTGTATGGTTGTCGAATAATTAATTATTAAAGTTATACTATTGCACGTGGCGCGTGGCCAACATAGCAAAAGTATTACGATATCTGTAATTTAATTCTCGAGAGCATGTTAAAAATAATAAGAATTTTATTAAAATAAGTGCAAATAATTTTATATCGTCAAAATTCTTCGTAAATATGCATAGAATTATTTGCACTTATTTTTATAAAATTCTTATCGTTTTTAAAATATGAACCTTTACATTTCAAGTAACTCCTAATAATTTACACGTGCGTTAAAGGAATTATAATCAATTTATTAACAATTGTGACATATTATTACAGGATACTTACACGCTGAAGAAGACTTAGTATAGTCGAAACGTCGTCCGTTATTAATTGTCAATTTTTACATTTACTTTTAACAAATATTTATTTACATTAAACCTAGGATTAAGGAAAAAAAGGCGTTGCCTC